CGACGCGGCCAAGCACAGGCTGCTGGTGCTGGTCAAGGACAATGGCGAGCCCGCGCTGTCTGCCAGCGTCACGCTGCACGTGCTGCTGGTGGATGGCTTTTCGCAGCCCTACCTGCCGCTGCCCGAAGTGGCGGCCGACCAGGCGCAGGCCGACCCGCTGACCGTGTACCTGGTCATCGCGTTGGCGTCGGTGTCGTCGCTGTTCCTGTTCTCGGTGCTGGCGTTCATCGCGGTGCGGCTGTGCAGGCGGAGCAGGGCCGCCTGGGTGGGTGGCTGTTCGGTGCCTGAGGGCCACTTTCCGGGCCACCTGGTGGACATCAGCGGCACAGGAACCCTGTCCCAGAGCTACCAGTATGAGGTGTGTCTGACGGGAGGCTCAGGGACCAGTGAATTCAAGTTCCTTAAACCAGTTATCCCCAGCCTCCCGCCCCAAAATCCTGAAAAGGAGGAAAGCCACACCTTTCTCAATGGCTTTGGGTTCAATTAGGAATTCCATTATTATGCAAAACTTGTAGAAAGAGTGCTATTTCTTTGTAAAATTTATTCATTGTAATGTAAAATTATTTCTTTTGAGTAACCTCACTAAGAGCTCAGAAATTTCAATGTCTACTTTCTGCTCTTCTTTATATTAACTGGAAAAAAACTGAGGGAGCTAGAATTTGTTTAGTCTTTCTTCCAAAATGCAACCTCAAATAATTTATTTACACGATGGAGCAAAAGTAGGTTTACAGTTATTCATATGGAAAATAATACAAGAACAAACTGTGGCCCTAACCAGTTTGGCTCAGTGGATAGAGCGTCTGCCTGCGGACTCAGGGGTCCCAGGTTCGATTCCGGTCAAGGGCATGTACCTTGGTTGCTGGCACATACCCCCCAGTGGGTGTGCAGGAGGCAGCTGATCGATGTTTCTCTCTCATTGATGTTTCTAATTCTCGTTCCCTCTCCCTAATTCTCTGTAAAAAATCAATCAATAAAAAAATATATAAAACCTCTTGACTTAAAAAAAGAACAAACTGTGTTTCACGTGTTAACAATTGTGAACCTACCTTTGCCCACCCTGTATACAGCATTTTCCCTTCTGGGTTAATTGCACACTCAGCTCAGTCATAGTCTCTGGGTGTTCTGGGTTCTAAATGCTTTCACCAAACCAGTTTTTATGTTTGATAGTATTATTATAGAGGAAATGCATGCTATGAATCAAAACATAATTGCTTTGTCATCTGCTTAGGTTGATTTTTAATGTTACCTTTTAAAGGTATTTTAAAGTATAATCAATTTTTCTATTCTCTTCTGCCAAATATTTCAGATAATTTTTTTCTCCATTTAGGTATGTTTCTGTGTAAATATTTTGTGAATTGTTTATATTGCTGATAGGTGGTGTATTAAAATAAATTCTAATCTTGTTCAGATTAAGGCAGATATTTAGCCACATCATTTATGGATTATATGGGTTGATTCATGTCTGAGAGCTCCCCAGTATGATCCAAGAGAGATAAACACTATTTAGATGTTTGTTCCATTTTCTTTACTTTTCCTGACTATTTTGATTGGTTCAGCAACAGACTCCTGATTAAAGCAGAAATAGTCACATTCTCCAAGCCCTTAAATTGGCAATTAAGATGCAGTTCACCTATTTTTTCTTGATTGCTTGTAACTAGGAAATAAATGTTAAACATAGGCTGAGGTAGCCATGTTTAGCCCTGTTTCGGCTTGCAACATAGAATCACAGGTAAAGAGCAAGAACAGAGGGGAGGAAGGAAGGGAAGGAAAGAGTAAAGAACTACTAGAAGAAAACATTCTAAAATAGAATGATTTGTACCTCAATAGAATTGAACCAATATTCAACACAATGTTTACATGAGGCGGGCTTGCAACATAGAATCACAGGTAAAGAGCAAGAAAAGAGGGGAGGAAGGAAGGGAAGGAAAGAGTAAAGGTGAGAATGAATAAGGAAGTGGAGGAAACAGAAACCTAAGAAACAGTAGACTAAGACAGCTATGCACTTGGTTCTATCTAGACCTATCAGTTTCTCATTCCAGTATCTCCAAGTCCCCAAAGTCTTGTTGTCTTTGAGTTTTACAATAAGACTCCAGTTTCCTAATAATAAAAATTTTTTATTTAACCCATGGGGGGATTACTGGAAACCAAAAGAGACAAGAAAGATACGTGAAGTCTTGAGTACTCAATTAGCCTATATAACAGCAAACCTAGGTCCTTTGTTGCATGCTTCTAATATTAACTTAGCCAATGAATGGAATAACAAATGTACAAGCTTTGAGATAATTAATCTATACTAGAGAATTTTGTTATAAACCTTAATTTTATAAATAATTGGCAAAGTCTTTCAACAGAAGAAATGCTACAAAGGGTTTTATGGAATGTTTTTCTAACAAGTTTCCCTCCATTATTGTATGTGCCCCAGGACTAGTTTTTAAAAGTAACACTTAGATTGTTATTGTTTGAGTGTCTATACCTTTTCTCAGGATCATCAGACATGTGAACATAATTATTTTATCATTTAATGTAAAATCTTCAGAGTCTACAAATAATGTAGTTTATAGATTATATGGGTTGATTCATGATTTTAAGAATAATACAGTATTTGATGGACACATACTCTATTATTAAAAAGGCTCATAAAAGTTTAAGTTTCCTGCCAAGTCTACAAGCTTAAATTTTTCTCCTTAGAAGAGAAAAATAAGGAGAATTTTTTTCTGAGAGATGACAGATGGGAATGAAAAACTAATTTTGATGCATTTGCTCACTGACTTAGATACCAGCTTCTACTGGTTAATTTTTTTAATGCATGAATATTAAGGGCACATTTTCTTGCCTATTTAATTTCATAGTAGAGAGGTTGGATCCATGACCAAGATCTCTGAGGAAAATTCTTAGATATAACTGTAACCAGCATGTTCTCATATTTTGAAGGTTGATTTAATTAAATTTGTTTCACTACTAGAAGAAAACATTCTAAAATAGAATGATTTGTACCTCAATAGAATTGAACCAATATTCAACACAATGTTTACATGAGGCCCAAGCTGTTTTCCCAGTTATCCAGGTGACTGGAGTGCCAGACTATGTTATACTGTTGGTTATTTAAACAATATTAAAGTATTGTTTAAAATTTGGTGCAACTGGGGAGACTCCAGGTCCCTCTCCCCAAGATATTTTTTCCGTCCTTAGGAGTAAAAACTTTATTCTAGGGTGTCAGGATCTCCAGCTACCCTCAAGAGCTACGTGAGTTGCTTGCTAAAAGTAAATTGTGTTTCCTACTTGAGAATAAGTTTAACCTGCTGTTTCAAATAAACCTAACTTATTTTCTTCTGCACTTTAGTTACTACTGTAACTTTAGCTCTTTAGTATATTTGTAATGTTGACTTCCCTACTTTTCAAGATCTCAGTGAATGTTAACTTCAACATGTATATATCTTAGTTTTAGTAACAGATGTAGATGCTTTCTACAAATAGTTTTAGATAATTAATAGTCAATACAACAGTGCTTACAGAGATATTGAGACAATATCTGTAGACAATATTTATAAATAAGTTATCCACAATCCCTTAAGCTATTTATTTAGTTTGCATAATAAACCAGTCCTAGCTGGTCTGTCACTTAAGTTTATACTCTTGAAGTATGTAAATGAATCTCTTCATCTACCTTGCTGGCAGTGTGTTAAGAGTTTGATTTCTTTAGGAATAGACTGATAACTACCCATCTTTTTCTACTCAATTACCCCAGAATACAGATAGTATAGTAGACTTTATATTGTAAGCTTCAGAACAACAAAGAAGCTATGTGTATTCCCACCACTTAGTATACTGCCTGACATATAATATGAAATCAATAAGGTTTATTGAATAAACAAATAAATACAGTTAGCTTTGTTCTTGCATCATTTCCCAAAGTGGCTGGCACCATTTCCACATTCACAATCTCACAGGAAAATAGAAGTTACAATTTTATTTATAAACCACCCGATATATAATCCGTGGTGGTGGTTGTGTATGTGTGTGTGCATAAATCAAGTAGAAAGCTTTTTGTAGCATTTCCAGCAAACTAGGTTTAAGTGCAACACATGGTGGCGCTGTAAGCTAAGGCTTCGAAAAAACAGACCTGAGGAGGGGAGGGTTCCGGTTCTGGTGGTCATTACACAGATCTAAGGAAGAGAGGAGGATCCTTAACGGAATTACCCTGCGGCAAGGATTGATTCCCCGGGCAGACTTCCTGCAGACCCAACAGGCAGCCGACCCCAAAGACTTCTGGCGCTGAAAAAAATGGAGGCTGAAGAGGAGCGCTTTCCTACACTAAGGCAAGTCCTGCTTCTCTTTGTTTTTCTGGCTCAGACTAGCGCAGAGCAGAAAGGTTATAGCGTCGCAGAAGAAACAGAGGGTGGTTCTTTTGTGGCCAATCTAGCAAAGGACATAGGGCTGGAGGTAAGGGAGCTGTCTGGGCGGAGGGCTCGTGTCATTTTTAACAACAACAGAGAACATTTTCAGCTGAACCTTCAGACTGGAGATTTACAAGTACATGAGAAACTGGATCGGGAAGAGCTGTGTGGTCCCACTGAACCTTGTGTGCTGCAATTCCAGGTGTTACTGGAAGAGCCTTTGGAAGTCTATAGGTTTAAGCTTTTGGTCCGTGACATAAATGACAATTCACCTGTGTTCCCGAAAGCAGAAATGATTTTGAAAATCATGGAAAGTACTCTTCCAGGGACTGTGTTTCCCCTGAAAAATGCACAAGACTTGGATGTGGGCATCAATAATGTTCAAAACTATACCATCCACCCCAACTCCCACTTCCACGTTCTTACCCGAAATGGCAGTGAGGGCAGAAAGTACCCAGTGCTGGTTCTGGACAAAGCTCTAGATCGCGAGGAGCAGCCGGAGCTGAGGTTAACGCTCACGGCAGTAGATGGCGGAGCTCCTCCCAAATCTGGCACCGCCCTGGTCCTCATTGAGGTGTTGGATATCAATGACAACGCCCCTGAGTTTGTGCAGCCACTCTATAGAGTGCAGATCCTGGAGAACAGCCCTCTGGGCTCCCTTGTTGTCACTGTTTCCGCGAGGGATTTAGACACGGGAATAAACGGGGAAGTGTCCTACTCATTCTTTTATGGCGATGAAGAGATTACTAGGACATTTGCACTTAATGAACGCACAGGTGAAATTACAATCATTAGGAAACTAGATTTTGAAAAAACTGTTTCATATGAGGTGGATATTAAGGCGTCTGATGGGGCAGGTCTTTCTGGAAAATGCACTGTCATAATACAAGTGGTGGATGTAAACGACAACACCCCAGAACTGAAGGTGGTTTCACTTACAAGCTCCATTCCAGAAAATTCCCCGGAAACGACCATAGCTCTTTTCAGTGTTCAAGACCCAGACTCTGGGGAGAATGGAAGGATGGTGTGTTCCATCCAGGAAGATCTCCCTTTCACGCTGAAACATTCCGTTGAGAATTTCTACAAGCTGGTAACAGAAGGACCTCTAGACAGAGAGAGTCAGGCCGAGTACAACATCACCATCACCGTCACGGACATGGGGACCCCCAGGCTGGAAACCCAGCACAACATCACCCTGCTGGTCTCCGACGTCAACGACAACGCCCCCGCCTTCACCCAAACCTCCTACACCCTGTTCCTCCGCGAGAACAACAGCCCCGCCCTGCACATCGGCAGCGTCAGCGCCACAGACAGAGACGCGGGCGCCAACGCCCAGCTCACCTACTCGCTGCTGCCGCCCCACGACCCGCAGCTGCCCCTGGCCTCGCTGGTGTCCATCAACGCGGACAACGGCCACCTGTTCGCCCTGAGGGCGCTGGACTTCGAGGCGCTGCAGGCGTTCGAGTTCCGCGTGGGCGCCACG